ATCCTTTAAACAGTTTATCAGCTCCCATCACTCTACGATTCTGTTATGATGCTACTACACCTACGACTAATGCTCTTTATAACGCATTTTCCTTTGAAGTCAATGCCTGAAACGACAAGACGCTTTGATTTTCTGAAATGAGCCAAAATGAGCCGAAGACGGTTGAATTTTCCAAGAAGTCGACCAAGACAAAAGGCTGAAGAAAATCTACTGAAGTCGGTGCTTTTATTCTCGATAAGAGCAAGGCTTGACTGGTCACGGCGGAACCCACTGTTGTATCAGTAATGTATTGAAAATTACAAGCGATGCATTGGATTCTTGAGCCACCAGACCAACCCTGGCGGAAGATGATGGACGACAATTTCTATGAATACGTCCCCACCATTCTTTGCCACACCTGCGGCTGACCTCAAATTGATGACACTACTGCTGAGCATCCGGTTGATTCTAGGACTGAACTTGACATCCACGCCAATGTAAATGTGCTTGGATCCAGTGGTTCTGTTCTGAGTGATACTGACCGACATACATCGGTCCGACCTACAATTCCCGAATATGCTGCATAGGAACATCCCGAATTTTTGATGCTGCCCTACTACTACATGACGAGGATGACCTGTTTGTCTGACCCCTTTTCTGATCATCATACAATAAAGAAATTTTGATGAACATCAAAAAGATTGATGATTGATCCGATATATATATGATATTGATCAATGTGTGATTTGATATATCTATGATATTGATCGGTGATTCAATATTTCTATGTTTTGATATTTATCGATGTGTGATTCGATATATATATGATATTGATCAATGTGTGATTTGATATATCTATGATATTGATCGGTGATTCAATATTTCTATGTTTTGATATTTATTGATGATTGATCCGATATGTATATGATATTGATCAATGTGTGATTTGATATATATATGATATTGATCGGTGATTCAATATTTCTATGTTTTGATATTTATCGATGTGTGATTCGATATGTCTATGATATTGATCGATGATTCGATATATCCATGTACTGGTGGATGTAGGTCTCCAGCCCTGACCGAACCACGTACCCTGTTTCGTTGAAACCCTTGTTTGTGAACTGTTTGTCCAACCTTTGAAACAAAGTCCTTGCCCCATTTGCAATCTGTTACGCTTTAGCGCGTTTCCAGCTTGAGAGGAGTGTTTTAAGGCCAGGCAGACATACCTGAGACTGGTTGGCTCGCTGACTGAAGCCGACAACACTAGCGATTTGTATGTGCGCGTTATGCGTACGTTGAGCGATAGTTTGCTTGGATGTTTTCACATCAACACAATTAATTTTTAAGGCATCAAGGTTTTACGATTATCCTTTGAGGTCAATGCACATCCTTTAAACAGTTTATCAGCTCCCATCACTCTACGATTCTGTTATGATGCTACTACACCTACGACTAATGCTCTTTATAACGCATTTTCCTTTGAAGTCAATGCCTGAAACGACAAGACGCTTTGATTTTCTGAAATGAGCCAAAATGAGCCGAAGACGGTTGAATTTTCCAAGAAGTCGACCAAGACAAAAGGCTGAAGAAAATCTACTGAAGTCGGTGCTTTTATTCTCGATAAGAGCAAGGCTTGACTGGTCACGGCGGAACCCACTGTTGTATCAGTAATGTATTGAAAATTACAAGCGATGCATTGGATTCTTGAGCCACCAGACCAACCCTGGCGGAAGATGATGGACGACAATTTCTATGAATACGTCCCCACCATTCTTTGCCACACCTGCGGCTGACCTCAAATTGATGACACTACTGCTGAGCATCCGGTTGATTCTAGGACTGAACTTGACATCCACGCCAATGTAAATGTGCTTGGATCCAGTGGTTCTGTTCTGAGTGATACTGACCGACATACATCGGTCCGACCTACAATTCCCGAATATGCTGCATAGGAACATCCCGAATTTTTGATGCTGCCCTACTACTACATGACGAGGATGACCTGTTTGTCTGACCCCTTTTCTGATCATCATACAATAAAGAAATTTTGATGAACATCAAAAAGATTGATGATTGATCCGATATATATATGATATTGATCAATGTGTGATTTGATATATCTATGATATTGATCGGTGATTCAATATTTCTATGTTTTGATATTTATCGATGTGTGATTCGATATATATATGATATTGATCAATGTGTGATTTGATATATCTATGATATTGATCGGTGATTCAATATTTCTATGTTTTGATATTTATTGATGATTGATCCGATATGTATATGATATTGATCAATGTGTGATTTGATATATATATGATATTGATCGGTGATTCAATATTTCTATGTTTTGATATTTATCGATGTGTGATTCGATATGTCTATGATATTGATCGATGATTCGATATATCCATGTACTGGTGGATGTAGGTCTCCAGCCCTGACCGAACCACGTACCCTGTTTCGTTGAAATCCTTGTTTGTGAACTGTTTGTCCAACCTTTGAAACAAAGTCCTTGCCCCATTTGCAATCTGTTACGCTTTAGCGCGTTTCCAGCTTGAGAGGAGTGTTTAAAGGCCAGGCAGACATACCTGAGACTGGTTGGCTCGCTGACTGAAGCCGACAACACTAGCGATTTGTACGTGCGCGTTATGCGTACGTTGAGCGATAGTTTGCTTGTATGTTTTCACATCAACACAATTAATTTTAAGGCATCAAGGTTTTACGATTATTCTTGTTGTCAATGCACACCCTTTAAACACATGCTTGCAGTATTCAATATACCGGTACCATATTTTATGCGTACTGCGTATTGACTACACTGAATATAATATACCGGTATCATACGTCTAATCGAAGATTACCCGGCGCCGCCTCCACTCCTGGGCTTGAATGAATCGCATGATGTAGTCTTTGTCTGGAGAGATCGCGCACGTATGCTACCATGGAAACTGTGGCAAAAGCCTGATGCTACATACGAGAAGCGGGTAGGTTTGGCACAGTAGCGAGGTACTAAGTTAGTGACTGGTTTTGCACCGAGGTCGAATCATAGGATTCGAAAAGGACAATCAATAGGATTGACAGACAAACCCGGACCAAATGGGGTATACCGAGCTATGGTGCAAATGAGAGAGAGGGTGGTGAGGGCGGGAAAAGCAAAAAAGCTGACGGTCTTGACCGAGCAGCTAAGCTCCTTCTATCGTCTCCATCATCCCACAAGCTCCCATTGCGAACAATGTCTTCTCCAAATCTTCCGTCCTCTTCGTCGACACTCTTCGCTCCGTCCGCCAACCGTGTACTTCACTGAAGCGACGCGCCGTAATCGACACGACGGAAATTGAGACTAAGGAAGAGCTAGAAACGCCCATACGTCTCCCGTCTTGCCGATCAATCATCAATCCACATCCCTCATCAACTTGACAACCTGTTGGAACGAGACAGGACCTATTTACTGTTTACGCCACCATGAACAACTTCAACGTGGGAAGGATCTAATATTTTGGATCTTTAATCTTAACCTCCCAATAATCCAATCACTTATTCTATACTTGAAATATACTGACCAACAATTTCAGCGTGACGCACACATTGGCTGGGTGGAAATGAATGGTTTGTCGAAATACATCAAAACAGTTTTCATATTGACTTATCCGACTCTTCTACTGACATCTTGCTTTGCAATAATGACGAACGGACTCCGCACAAAAATCATCCCGATCATTGATTTACCTACAATAGGATTGCTGAAAGCGGCAGCCCAAAGAATTACTGAGTCGAGATTCTCAAAGGCTGTCAACGACGCAACCCTTCCACTTGGCAAATGGAATGGGGTCACTGGCTCGAGCTTGATCGCCCTTGCAACAATGCAGGCCTTCACACTGGACGGCCGGATGCTAACAAGAACATGAGATGATTCACGATGACAAGGCTGAGGAGACGAGGATAGATGAAGGATGACGCATACTGACATGTGTGAGAATCCAGAGAAGACAGGTGCCAAAAGGTGTAGGAAAACAACGAATTTTATCTTCCATGAGAACTTCTATGATAAGGAAATCTGTTGGAAAATGAGCGCCTGATGATGAAAGTCATAATGTACTGGTTGATTGAGGCGATGGGGATGGAGGAAAGATGACATACCTTGCTTAAGGAAGAGAATCCTAGAGAGGAGAGGTGTCTTCAAGGTGTGTGGAAACAGAACGAATTTTATCGACGAATATTCTGCGTACAGAATGCGTTCTCAAATGAAAATATCCAGATGAGCAAATACCGGTGGTACGGTAGGCAGCGGCTGAAAACTCTGTGTTCATTACTGGTACTGTCCTTGGAACTATGACTCAAACCAAGAACTTCCCACTGGAATAAAAGTGAAATGACCAGTCACTTCCCCGCTTGTGCTCCCCGCTGCTTGCCAATGACTGTAATATTACCGGTATGATCACAAATGAAAATGTCCAAAATGAGAAACTTGTTGGGAACTAGTCAGAGGCAGGAAACTAACTCTTGGGACCTAGTCAGCGGCTGAAAACTCTTGGGACCTAGTCAGCGGCTGAAAACTCTTGGGACCTAGTCATCGGCTGAAAACTCTTTGGACCTAGTCAGCGGCTGAAAACTCTTTGGACCTAGTACAGTACAGTACTGAAAACTACAGGATGACCTACTGTACAATATGACACAAACTTCTCGGGTGATCGCATCTATGATCAAGCGAAACTACAAAAGTCGACCACACTTCACCGCTCTTATCCTTCCCCACTTGTCATTGGCTGTGAATTGTCGCTTCCTTTTTTCCCTTCCCTGTTCACAAAGCCGAAAAATCATGACATTCTCGATTCTCCTTTTTGCCTATAAATAAATGACCAAATGTCTTTTTGACTTCACAATAAGTATTTAAAATATGATACTTCGCAGAAAGCCCCGGTCATTTTTGGAAACAATTCGCGAGGCTCATGCGAACTGACGCAACTCCAAACTTTCTCACAAAATCAGCAAACATTTTATTTTCAGCCATGCACGGGCTTGTATATGAAATCTTCGAAGAGTGGGTGCTCGAGCAACAAGGAGTCAAGGCATGGCACGCAATCAAGGCAAAGGCAGGTTGCGATGTCCAGGATCAATCCTTCGTCACAAGAACATTTTACAGCTACGATTCTTGGGTCAACCTCATCACAGCTGCTGCTGAGGTGTTGAACTCTTCATTCGATACCATTCTCGAGGAATACGGTCACTACAATATCAGATACCACTTTTCACATGGGTATGACGCATTGCTGAAATGCCAAGGTTCAACTTTACGACAATGGTTGTCGAATCTCAATGCCATGCACGATCACATTCAAAAAAGTTTCCCAGGCGGAAACTTTTGCCCCCCTGTCTTTTGGTGCGAAGACTCAGACTCAGAAATCTACGAGGGAAGTATTCTATTACATTACTACAGCCAGCGTGGAAATCGGTTAGTAGCATGGGTTGTGGGGATCGTGAAGGTAAGCACTGCATGGAACTTCTGAATGAAATATTGTTCTGTAAGATCTAACAGACTTGATATCGCAGGAGCTCGCGTCCTACCACTTTGGGGTTGAGATTGACATGACTAGGCTATCACTGCAGGACGTGGACGGTTCGAGTTTCACAACCTGGAGGATAGTTGCTACTGATCCGACACAAACCTGGAAGCTCTCTCCAAAGGTTTCACAAAACGTTGACGAGGAAGAGGTCAACTTCGATGACGTGCCGTTGCCTGCCAAGTGCCCATTTTCGGGGCGCAAGCTGAAGCAAACGACGATTGAAATCGAAGAAACCAAGAAATCGACTGGAAAATGTCCTTTTTCTCATGGTCAAGACACCAAGACCTCCACCTTGGAAAAGGGTGACGAGTCTGATGCTTCAAAGGGCAAGTGTCCATTTCCTCATGAACACATCAAGAATGACTCAGCTGACAAGACGGTCGATACTGCTGATAGCTCAATGGCTAGCTCCGAAGACTCCCCTGGTGTTTCTTACGACAGAATGAAGGGAATTTTTCCATTCCATGTTCTGGTGAACAACGATTTCCATATTGTCCAAGTTGGATCGAAGCTTCCAAAGCTACTTCAGCGAAGGGCAAGCGAAATGATGGGAAGTCATATCAACACGTTTCTCGAGATCACTAAACCGGTTCTTGGAACATCATGGAACTGGAATAGTATGAAGAAGCTGGCCGATCAAAATTTTATCCTATCGCCTTCGATTGCTACCAAGCCTAAGGGTAAGAAGGTTGCCATGTCAGATGATAGGATCAAATTCAAAGCATCGATGGTTGAGACATCACGTGAAAGGGTCATGTTCGTCTTGAGTCCTGAAGTTTCAAACGTCACTGAACTGAACAATATGGGCTTGACTCTATCTGACCTTCCATTGCAATCCAACCAACGCGATGCCGTTTTCTTGGGAGAATATGTGACGCAAGAAGCCGACAAGGCGCACAAGCTCGACAAGCTAAGCAGAAAGATGGACGCGGAAAAGAATCTATCCAACACACTGTTGCATAGTATCATCCCCCGCAAAGTTGCTGACGACCTCCGTCGGGGGAAAACAGTTGATCCAGTCTTTCATGAAAACGTGACTCTTTTCTTTTCTGATATTGTTGGGTTCACCAAAATCTGTGACCAAGTGGAACCGTGGGATATTATTGATATGATGAATCAGCTCTACTCAATTATGGACTATCTTGCTGCGCATTTCAACTTGTACAAGGTCGAAACGGTTGGCGATGCGTACATGTGAGAATATTTGAAATGACCTGTACCTGTTCAATGTTGAATATCGCTCACGTCTTTGATTATCGCTCACGCATTTTGTTTCGTTGATATAGGTGCTGCTCGGGACTTCCAGAGCCCGATGAATTTCATGCTGAGAACGTCACGAATTTCGCCTTGGCTGTTATTGAATGTAGCAAACACGTCAAGTCACCACTTGATGGATCACCAGTGAAGATGCGTATTGGTATCCATACTGGCAGCTGCACCTCTGGAGTTGTTGGAACCATGACGCCCCACTACTGTCTGTTTGGAGATATGGTGAATGTAACAGCTCGCCATGAGTCGACTGGTATTGCTGGCAAGATTCACTGCTCCAGTGCTTTGTTCAGTCGCCTCCGAACTTTCGCCAAGCTGGACGAACCACAGTACAACTTCACGGCCCGTGGTCTCGTAGAGATGAAAGGAAAAGGACAACACTACACATACTTTGTCGAGAGTGGAACCGAATTCAACCAAGGGGGCAACTCCAAAGCGCTTTCTGAACTTTCAAAACACGCTGAACAAATGATCGCTTCGAAGACGTGGAAAAAGAGAAAATACTTTCGCAAGGGAGGATTGGTCGATGATCTTTCGGTTGCCGACCATTCCATGAGTTCTCAAAGTGAAAGTTCTGGCAGTGGACCAAAGGAAGAGAGCAGCTGTGGTCGAATCGTCGCATCATTTTTGCCACAAGACAAAACGTATGAGTCTGATGATGGGTCGATTCATAGTGATGATAGCCTCCTTGAAGGCGACATCGAACCTGGTGAAGAAGACATCATCGAAGGCTCCGGGACTACAATCATTGATCTATCGGAAGAGCAGTGTTATCACTTTGGCAAAAGCTGGGAGAGTATCAAGTGGGACGAGACCTTGTCTTTGGAACAGTCGCTTGAGCGAATCACAGCTGTGCTTTCATCGTGTTTACAGCAGTGTGTTCACAAGAGCGCCAGCAGAATGGAAACTGTTATTGCCGAATTGGAAGAATTTGTGAAGCGAATCGCCATTCTCTACAATGAAGAAAATCCGTATCACAATTTCGATCAGACAGCACAAACATTCACGAGGGCAGTCTATCTCTGGGAGGCATGGGCGGCTTCTCGGATTGAGAAGAACACGTCGTTTTACGACAATCCTTGGGACCGTTTTGCCCTTCTTTTTTGTGTTTTGATCCATGGCATTGGTCACCAGGGTGTGTCGAATGCGCAGCTTGAAGCAGAGAAGCATTTGTATTTCCAAATGAATGAGGGCAAAGGGGCGTACCAACAACGTCATGCCTTCATCACGGCATTTGAATTACTTGAAGAAGAATTTGCGGATTTGTACGAGGAGATCATCTTTGGATGCCCAAGTTTCCGTGGATCTTTGCGGAAATTGATGCTGGCCACCGACATCGAAACAGAAGAGAAGCTTTTGGCAGTTGTCGAAGAGTATGATGCCATCACTGAGAAGGAATCAGCGGCCGCCCGTGGATTCAAAGAATTGAACGACGCGAAACTCTGTCTAATGGTCTGCACTGCGATGATTGGTCATTACACGCAATCCTACAATGTCTTCATCCAGCGAAACCGACTGCAGTTTGAGGAGATTCTGAAAGCTTTTCGGAACGATCGAGCGGAGGATCCACGCGACAGTTGGTTTTACGAGCAGAACATGTACTTCAAGAATGCCGTGACGCCTCTTATCACACGCATGCAAGACGCATTTCCGTCCCTTGACCATATCCAGAAAATTGTCGAAACGAACACTATTCTCTGGGGAGACACTGGAAGAGAATGGGTTGCTGCTACCAGGCTTCCAGGGGCCATTGTCGGCCGCGCTTCGGTGGAGAAATATTGCGATATGTCTGTGGAAAGTCTAATCGCCAATAACGTTGACATCTTGGAGAAGCTGCTAAGGGACGTCGCTGCATCTCATGATTCCGTGACTCCATTTGACACAGCTCTTTCAGGGGAGTCTATTCGAGCTACCAATCCTGTGGACGAAGTCAAACTGGTGATCGAGATGAAAAAGGGAAAAGGTGGTGCCAATTCGAACCAAGCTGCTCCAGAACTCAGTCCAGAAGCTCGGTCTGAGCTTCATGACTTTGTTGTTCAAATTGCCAGTGGATACGAGAGCAACGAATTCCACAACTTCATGCACGCAAGTCATGTTGCGCATCTTGCAAAGCTTCTGCTGACCGGGATCCATGCCAAGGAAGGGTCCAAAGATGCGAGCGGTATTGCTTCTGATCCGCTTGCCAAGTTTGCCATTGTACTATCGGCTGTGGTCCATGATGTGGGTCACATTGGAATTCCGAACGGTCAGTTGGCTGATGAAAATCCAGCTCTCGCCGAGAGGTACAACAACAAGAGTATTGCCGAGCAAAACTCAATCGACACAGCATGGGCAGTTCTCATGTCGGACAGTTACCGGAACCTCCACAAGTGTCTCTTTGATTCGCCCCAGGAGAAAGAACGACTCCGTCATTTGCTTGTCAATTGCGTCATGGCCACTGATATTTTCGACAAGGACCTTCGGGAAACTCGCAGGATTCGGTGGGAAAAGGTCTTCCACGATAACTCGGCTACCTCGTACGAGGACGAGTGCAACACAAAGGCGACGATTGTCATTGAGCAACTTATGCAAGTATCCGATGTTGTGCACACAATGCAAAACTGGGAGCTGTATCGAGAGTGGAACGAGAAGCTGTTCAACGAATTTTACGATGCCTATCGAGACGGACGGACCCCCAAGGATCCATCGACCAACTGGTACAACGGCGAGCTGTGGTTCTTTGACAATTGGGTGATTCCACTTGCTGAAAATCTTCAAGAATGCGGTATTTTTGACATTGTCAGCAACCAGCTCATCAAGCAAGCCCGCAGTAATCGGAAGCGGTGGGAGCTTGAAGGGAAGAGAATTACTGAGGAAATGACGAAAGCTGCAATAGCACGGAACAAGGAACGAAGTGCACGAAGGACCTCGGTCACCTCCGGTACCTCTGCTAACTCGCTTGCCTCTGCAAGGTCACATGGAAGTGAATTGATATTGACGTCGCATATTGTCTCTGAGGTCGAGACCTTGTCCAAGGTCGTCAGGCGGTACGAGCGGAAAGTTCAGACTGCCTGTGGCAATCTCATCGCCATCGCCTACAAGGGGCAACCAGGATCTGAAGAGTTGAAGGGGCAACCCTGGGACAAGATCCACAGCCACTTCAAGCAACAGGACTGGTATCGGATGCATTCGGATGATGGCATTATTCGACACGGTGGAAGTGAATCTCAAGACCCATCTGGACGGGCGGGAAGCCGGATGGTACAGACTTTGATTGACGATCTGGCGAATGAACTGTCCAAGGTCGAGAATATCGTCAAGGGTTGATTGGATATCTCAAAATTTTGATAAACACGGTAGCACATTTTATTACATGTATTTTAGAATCATAGCAGTTCATGGTTGAATTCCCTTGCTTTCGAAAGTAGATTCCCGTGATCGGAATGACAGAAGATGACAGAAACAGACCCATTTTCGAAACGAGGGTAAAATTCATTTGCAAAAAGAAAGGAGGGCTTTTCTCAACTCACTTGTCCAGTTACAACAAGGTATACAAACGTTTCATTCGGGGGACTTCCTTTGCTAGCAAGCTCAAGATCGCCGGCCTTGAATGATTCGCTTCCCTGTTCTCGGATTGCGCTCAGGGATCGTTCTTTGGTCTTCATATATCACTTTACAATGTAAAATATCGCTTCACAACACAATCAGTCTCGATGGGTACTCTTCTTCAAGTAGGGAGCCACTACAAGTCTTGTGGATCAGTAATATACATAGCCGGAGCATCTTCAAAATCGTATATTCTTTGATTGAACGGTTCGAGTGTTCCAATTCCAAACGGCATCGCATTCATCTTACTGCAGTTACTGAAAGATGAAGATTATTTTTCATATTCTTCCGTTGAGATTGTAGCATTTTGTAATACTGCGGCATGGCAAGTGGTTACAGCCTTTTAAAGTGCCAAGTCATCTCCCTGGATGCGGTGTTGATGAGCTTCAACGTTTCAGGATATCATGCTGATGATTTCGTCACTGGATAAAGATGACGATGTGTCGATTCGATTGATTCTGGTGCGCTATCTTCATGATGATGATGACGACGACGACGACGACGATGATGCAATGTGCGAGATGACTAAATTTATTTTGACCATGATTGAGTCGGTGTAATCAATTCACAGCCTGCTTTTCTTTTATATTATTATAATACGATCGACGTCCGCATTCATTCATCGCGCGCATATCATCTCGTCGTAGTGTGGGGCAATCCCAACAGCATCTCATCCCTCATCCTGTCATCTCATCCATCCCTCATCAACTTGACAACATTCGAGGCAAGAGATAGGACTTGTTTACGCCACCATGAATGTGGGAACGGATTTAATATTTTGGATCTACAATCTTTTTTTTGAAAATTAAAAATGTATTGGTGAATGGTGAATAAATCTGCCAATGCAATCACGACAATGTTTATTCACTACCAACAATGTGACACACGTTGGCTGGGTGAAGCCATTGAGGCCGCTGGAAGAAGAGTCAAAGATCCTGACTCTCATAATAAGTTGAAGAATGAGGAGATATTCATGGCGCTTGG